GTAAGTCACCTTCCACCTGCTTCTTTCTCTCGTCCCATTCATTCACCTGCTCACGTGTCTTTGCTTTTCTCTTCTTTCCTTTGATAAATGAAGCTTATGAAAACCACGCAGCAGCACGAGCGTTTAAATATAATAGTTTTCCCGTTTACATACATCTCATTTACATTTTTGGCCAGTTTCTCTTATACTGCCCCAAATGATTAGACTGAGCATACATTCATTTACTCTACACCATGTAGGGCACTGAAAGTCTCATATTAAAGAAATTGTAAATGCAGAGACATGACCCCTAAGAGTGTGTGGCAATGCCAATTTTATTTATATAGCACATTTCATTGCAAGCAAACTCAATATGGTTCGGTTACATGTCACAAATTGATATCACCGACGCATTGATAGTTGCTGAGGTTTCTGTTTTTGAGTTACATTATAAATATGCTGGAAGATGGAGAGAAACGCATCTCTTTCAATCACCCAGAGTCCTCAGGTGACACCTTCACTTGCCTTATTTCACAGTCATACCTTTAAATTATTCACTTTAACTGAGAAAACGCCACAAGTAGTCATATTTTAAAACTTGGTGATATGGTGAAAAATTCTTCAGAGTCACCAAAGATAATCACCTATGTCTTGATTAATTACATCAATCAATCAATCAATCAATCAAATTGTTTTTGAATTTTTGCAGAAGTTATTAAAAGAAATAACAATAACTCACATTTGCCCTCCGGTGCAATGTACTTGAGTAAAATACCCACCAACACTGCACAACCTACACAATAAAAGTCCAATAAATGGACCGCAGCAGTGAGCAAAAGGATAATGTTTTTAACTCTCACGAGGTAAAAGTAAAATTTAAATAGGCGGGTATTATACTTCAGAATTATACAGAGGTGTACACTTACTCACCAGACACTTTCAGAACTGCCTTAATTCTTCACAGCACAGATTCAACAAGGTGCTGGAAATGTTCCTATCGATGAGACAGAATCACACAGTTGCCCATCTATCATGAAAAATTGTTCCAAAAAGGTGCCAGACTGAGATCTGGTGACTGTGGAGGCTTTTTGAGTGAATTGATTGTCATGTTATAAAAATCATTTTGAAATGATTTGAGCTTTGTGACATACACATTATGCTTCAGTGTGCCATTACTCCACCAGCAGCCTGAACCGCTGATACAAGGCAGAGGGAATCCATGCTTTCATTTATTTATGGCAAATTAAGAGCCTACCATCCAAACGTTGCAGCACGACATTTTTCAGATCTTCAGTTTTGAGCCTGTGTGAATTGTAGCCTCAGTCTTCTGTTCTTAGCGGACAGGAGTGGCACTGAGGTGTGGTCTTCTGCTGCTGCCCTTCTGTTTCAGAACTCATTGTGTTGTGCATTTAGAGATGCTCTTCTGCACACCTTGGTTGTAACGAGTGGTTATTTGAGTTACTGTTGCCTTCCTATCAGTGTTACCGCAGATACCTGACAGTCTTTAGTAGTAGCAGTATATTAACTAGGTTAAATAGAAAATGCTTTCAAAGCAGTAGTGACTTTTCAAATTGAGTTTGTACATGGAAAAAAGGAAATAATGAATATCATACACTGGTTTGGGGCAGTGATGGTAAGGAGAGGACCCAAGCATCGGACAAAAAAGAAAGAAAAAGAAACAGGACACATGAAAAAACAAACTCTCTAAGTAAAACAGGAAGTAACTAAAGGACGGTTAACTAACAGTGAAACATGATGATAGGGGATCATAGGAGAGTGCACAAGGAAGGCTCATTAACAAAATAACACAAGTAATGAATAAGAACTCAAGGAAAGCCCAGGGACTACACCACAGCAAGTCAAGAAGATGAAAATCAGCCCGATTCATTTATGGAATTTTAAGCATTTTTAAAAACTGTAGTTAAATATAAATGCTGTTCAGTATAATTTTAAAGTCAGGACTAAAGGAGAGAGAGAATAGAGCATATTCATGCTTGTTACTAACACAACACACACACACACACACACACACACACACACAGTCCAAATTGTCCAGCGTTGTCCTGTCTCACTCTCGCTTTGTCATGGAGATGTTAATTTTCACATAGATGACAGTGTGATGTAAGTGTGTGTGTGTCTGTGTGTGTCTGTGCTGGGTTTACACTGTAAAATAATTAACACGGTGAGCCCTGGAGTTTTAAGGACTCAGTGCGTGTTTGGGGTTGCAGGAATGTTATAGAGTTAATTACTCTAATATTGATTCCCTGATCAGCTGGACTGTTGCTGCTCTGACAGAAACAGACTTGGAAACTGAATTTGCCCTGAGATGCCTAATCCTTTCCTTTCCTTTCCTTTCCTTTCCTTTCCTTTCCTTTCCTTTCCTTTCCTTTCCTTGTGTCTCAGTTTTTCTTGGATGTTCTTTGTGACCTGGAAACCTTTTTTCCCCATTGTTCAGCAGTGTTAAGTGAGCAGAGCATCCATCCTTATATTGTTTTCCTTCCTTCCCTCATTCCCTGCTCTGTGACTGCTACTCTCTGCTTTCTGGTTTGACCTTCAATGTCTCTCCGTCCTCTCTGTGTCTAATTAACACCAATCAACTTAACTAAAGCAGAAGTCTTCTTTTAAAGACATTAAGGGGATGCTGAAAGTCAAAGAGAGAGCACGAAAACATTCACAGTGAGCATAAAAACCCCCAAGGAAAAGAGAACCAGAAAAACGGGACATATGTGAGTAGAGTATATGAATGCTAACAGTTTGATCAAGGGAATAATAAATAATGTTGGTAAAATGAAGCACTGGTTATTACCCTGCTGTTGTGTGTGCTGGACCATTTTAACTTAGCAAACGTCTGTTAGATATATAAACTTCATGACATTTCAGCAGAGTATGTGCTAAGATAACATTTGTGTGAAAATTGAGGGTAGCATGCTGGTGGATGCTGGTGCGCTTTTGTGGTTAGCACTATCACTTAACAACGAGAGGGTTGGTTCAAACCTCCTGGTTGATGCTTCTCTGTGGATTTCTTTAGGTACTCTAGCTTTGTCCCACTGTGGGTCGTGTTATGCTAATTGGTGATTCAGTGTGGTTGTGGGAGTGTGTGAATATTTGTCTCTGTGCTGACCCCCAGTAACTTGGATTGGATTTAATCAAGTTGTTTGGTATATCTCCAAAAGTTGATTCTGTTCATCTGGACGTAGCGTTTTCAGTGGGAGAAACGTTTCGTCACTCTCAAAGTGACTTCTTCAGTCTTAGCTGACTGCAGGTTTCCCCAATCTTATTGTAAGATGGTGACATCTTGGGCTGGGAGGTCAGTTCCTTCATCATAATTATGCAGATTCTCATGACCATTGATCAACAACCACTGATCAAAGACCACTGATCAATGGCCATGAGTACCATTCACAGAGAGTTGGGGAATGGCTGCAATCACAGCATTGTAAGATGGTGACAGATGCATCCCAGTCACGGAAGCGTTGGAGGTAGTTCGTGAGAGATTACAGGATGACCCCAACTTCAGCAACAGGACCACTCTCAGCATCGACCAAGTGTGTTTGCTTTTGGAACTGTGTCTTCATTCCACCTACTTCACATACAAGGGTCAGTTCTATAGTCAGAAACATGGGTGTGCCGTGGGCTCCCCAGTTTCACACATCGTGGCCAATTTGTATATGGAAGAAGTGGAAAAGAGGGCTTTGCTATCCTACCCTGGAACACCACCAAGCCATTGGTTCAGATATGTGGATGACACCTGGGTGAAAATCAAATTTCAGAATGTACCACATTTCACGGATCACATTAACTCGGTGGACTGACACATCAAATTCACCAGGTAGGATATGAAAAGTGGCAGGTTAGCCTTCTTAGACTGTGAGGTTTACATCAGGAATGGGGGACATCTAAAAGCTGACGTGTACCGTAAACCTACGCATACGGATCAGTATTTAAGGTTTGACTCTCATCATCCACTGGAGCACAAACTGGGTGTCATCAGGACGTGATCCCATATGTGTCAGGAGTATCGGAGTAGTTGAGACGCATTTTTTTCTAAACACCGGGTCTCTGTGGCTTTTAAACCCCAAAACACGCTGCGCCAACAATTGGTGCACCCAAGGATCAGGTCCCCCGACACAAACAGAGTAACATAGTGTACGCTGTTAAGTGCCAGGAGGATTGCCAGGATTTATACATCGGGGAAACCAAACAACCTCTGGCGAAGCGGATGGCACAACACAGAAGAGCTACCTCGTCAGGCCAGGACTCTGCAGTCTATTTACACCTACAGGCCAGTGGACACTCTTTCAATGATGAGGATGTACGCATCTTGGACAGGGAGGAACGCTGGTTTGAGCGCGGAGTCAAGGAGGCCATTTATGTGAAAAGGGAAAGACCATCTCTGAATCGAGGAGGGACCCTAAGGGTACATCTGTCACCATCTTACAATAAGATTGGGGAAACCTGCAGTCAGCTGAGACTGAAGAAGTCACTTGGATGAGTGACGAAACGTTTCTCCCACAAAACACTACGTCCAGATGAACAGAATCAACTTTTAGAGATTTACTTATCTGGATGATTGAGCATGCATCAAGACGTTGTTTGGTATATTTTAAAAGTTTAAAGTTTAATTAGCTAAAAGACTAGCTGCTATAAACATCTTAAAATACAGTCATGTGAAACAGAACGTTTTCTCAATACTCTGGGCAGTCCTGGGAAAAACTAAGTACATCCTTATTGATCCCATATGCCTTGAGAGGAAGTACCAGTCAGAGAGTTTCTGGTCCTACCAGAAGTGACATCCCAGCAAATTCCGCCCAAGTAAAGATTATACAACGCTCAGAGAAATTGCAAAAAACCCAAGAGTTAGCATTTTGCCAGAGGGCTGCCAGAAGATGGGGCACCTTGCAGCCATTTCATCGACCATAAACTCCACTACATAACAAAGAGTCAAATGTGTGGCCATGTGTCCGACAGCTAAAGCTCGGCCAAAACTGGGTCACGCAACACAACAATGATCCCTGGCACAT